CATATTCAGTTGTGATTCTGATTATTAACACTAATAATGGTGATGAGGAACTGAACTTACTAATGTCTCTGAGTAACTGGACAATTGAGCAATGCAGTATTTTATCTCAGATGATTAAAATAACTATGTTCTTTTTTCTGTCTTTCTGGTGATATGGAAATTACTAAAAGCCTTTCTGGCATTCTAGAAACTTTATTTGAAATTTTGTAATCTGCCTGAACATTGTGGTTCAGTGGTGGAGTATTGACCCAGAGGTCACAGGTTCAATTCCTGATCAGGGCACGGCCCAGGGTTGCAGGCTCAATCCCCAGTAGGGGGCCTGCAGGAGGCAGCCAATCAATGATTCTCTCTCATCACTGATGTTTCTATCTCTCTCTCCCTCTCGTCCTCTCTGAAATTAATAAGAACATATTTTTAGAAAAAGAGCAGGATGTTAAATATCAATCTCGTTCATTTTTGAGTAAGGTACTTACCTTGACTCAAAATATCACTTCTCATTTCTTTACTTCTTGTTTTTCTTTTTACACCATCCTGCACCGCAGAGTTGGATGACGAGAGATCTAGTCAATAACACTGGAAGCGAAAAGAGATCCAATGACACTTTTCTTTTTCATGTAGGATGTCATTAGTGATCCGGTGGTAAACAATTGCAGAATAATGACAAAAAATAAACAACCAGTCATTAATAAATGTTGAACATCATACTACGTTTCCCACTTCTCCCTTCTCCCTCTCAACCAGTGTATTTCTTATCGCTGATGTTTTTTGTAACAAAAAAATTGCCAAGCATATCCCAAAGGCATATGAAAAGTCTCCTAGCCCTAGCTACAAGTGGTGTTTAAGGAGTGGAAGAATTCTGGAGTATTTAATTCTTAAAGAAAATCACTGTTTTGTAACGAAACATTACATGGTTGGGTTAAACAGCAAATTACCGTTTGTCCTCATTGGATTTTTTTAAGGTGATGGTGTACACTTTCTACAGAAACAAATAAAGAAAGAAGAAAGATTTTTGTTAACTCCCTTCTTTGTCTTTTAGGTTAAGATTTTAGGAGAAAAAGGCCAAACAAAAACAAGGTACTGCCCCCTCTGAGGTTCGAACTCAGGACCTTCAGATTATGAGACTGACGCGCTGCCTACTGCGCTAAGGAGGCACCTGTCTCCTCGTGTCCGCGGAATGTCTACTAGTGTCATTGTAACCTGCAGCAACTAAAGACCCCTGGGTCATAATGTTTGAAAATAAAGTGCAACTGACATGAAGTATCCGAACGCCCCAAAGCGGTGCAGAGCAGAGCAGGGCCGACCCGTCTCCCCGCGAACCTTCCTGGGCGGCCGGGGACGGAGGCAGCTCCGCGAGGGGCCGGGCTGCGGAGCCGCCGCCGGAGCGGAACCGCGCTGCCTGCTCGGGGTTCTGGGAGGCGCTCTGGCCGAGGCGGGTGGGGGCTGCCGGCGTCCTGGGACTCCCCTCGACCTTCCCAGGGGCGCGGACCTGGCTCTCTCCCCCGCCGGAGGCTCCCCTGCGTCCTCAGCGCCCCCCGGCCCTCCGCTGGCAGGACCCCTTTTTCTGTGTTGGTGGCACGGGGAGCAGGAACCTCCTCCCGGGCCACCTGCGCGCCCCGGCTCCGGGCGCACCAGGGAGCGGGGAGGCAGCGAGGCCGGGGGAAGCGACATTCAGTTCCGGAAAGTGCAGGCACGAGGTCTCAGGGAGGCGGTAGCGTGGCCGAGCGGTCTAAGGCGCTGGATTAAGGCTCCAGTCTCTTCGGAGGCGTGGGTTCGAATCCCACCGCTGCCACATCCCTCTTCCGTGACCCAGTCAGTGGACGCCCCTTTTTACTCCCCACGTGAACAGCTCCGGGCCCCCGCTTCAGGTAGGTTCCTCCACTCCTATCGTGCCTTCCCAGAGGTCAGAGGTAACACCGTACTCACCGCTTTTCCAAACGGCCGCGACACCGGATAGGCCTTCAATTATTTCAATTAACAAATAGTTAATGAGCACCCACGTGTGTGCGCGTGCGTGGGTGTGAGACATTTACTCCATCATTGTATTTTCAACACCCAGAAGCATCCAGCACTTAACAGACCTTCATTTAATCATTCGTGTTTTTAGAATTTAGTCGGCGCCTCCGGTGCGCGGGTGCTCGCTCGGGACCGTAGCGCGCAGAACTTTCCGCGGCGCGGCGAGCGGCCGGCGGCGTCTCCTGCTCCCCTGTGAGCCCGAATCGCGACTTGA